CCCAGCCCCGGGACCCCCCGTCTGCCTCCCGCCGGCGTCCCCCGCCCGCGCCCGCCGGGTCCTAGCGCACGGCTGAGCCGAAGAGGAGGAGGAGGAGGAGGAGGCTGGAGACCCCGGGAACAGAGGGGTGCAGGGGCTGAAAGCACCCCAGCAGCGGGCGAGTCCGCTCCGGGACCCGGGGCTGTGGGTGCCTTGTGTCCCCAGCCGAGCCCCATGCTGCACTGTCACCCCCGGGGAAGGAGCCCTGAGGATGAAGCGTCCTTCCTTCCTCTTCCTCGGGAGGATGGGACCAGGGCAATGCCACGGAGAACCTTTCCCATCTCCCTTGGGCTGGGGCAGAAAAGCCTCATTAAACACGAGGTAGCAACCTCCTCTTTCCTGCAGCCACCCCTGTCCCAAAGAAGCACACTGGTGTCACTCCCTTGGGGAAAGCCTTACCCAGTCCCCCAGTCCTGGACTGGGAGATCCCGTACCACCCCAGCGATGAGCCTGGGATATCCAGTATCTCCCCGACGGTCAGGCTGGGAGATCCAGTATCTCCCTGATGGTCAGCAGTAGCCAGAATTTGCTGCCAGCTCCTGACGTCTCCGCAGTCTGTCAGAAAACACATTTTCAAATTGAAAGAGCAATTATGTTTGCAAAGAGAAAGTGCTAAGGGTCCCCTAACCTGTGGCGTGGAGAAAAGGACAAGGGGAAAGCTCGCTTTTTTATTAGATTAGATTTCAGTTAGAGGCAGAGCTGCCCCATTAATCCCAGACACTGAGGCGCATACCCAAAATGTGAAGGATCGTCCTGACGCTGAGTGAGTCAAGTCCAGGGTTTCACAGGCAAATTCCTAAGCCTGGGCTGTCTGGGTGGATAAAAATGCCCTTTGCCTCAGCTCTGCTCCTCTCCCAGGGAGCTGCAGCCTGCCCCAAGTTCTGGCTTGCTGTGGCAAGTAATATTCTCACCTTTCCTCTGGGAAAACTTATGCCTCTATTTGAGTCCACAGTGGACAATCCTGGTGGTTTTTCACTCCCTCCAGTGACATTTCATTCACCTTTGGGTCAGGTACACAGGACAAATACTCTCCTCTTCCCATTTGCTTTCCTTGGGGCTCTGCTGGCAGCCTGCACGAGGGCCTGCCCATGCCTTGGCCAGCCTCACACCTCTGCCCCACAGCCTCAGCCTGAGGACACATGGCAGGTCTCATCCCTGCCCTTGGAGACCTCCCCAGGCTGCACTTCGCTCTAACTTTCCCCCTTTTTTAAAGTAGACATACTTTAAAATCCCCCTAGAAATTACATGTTTAGTGGTACTATTTAGGCTGCATTTGCCTACTGACTTGGCAGTCGCCTCTCCAGGAGCCAGGCGATGCTCCCTTCAGTCACCGGAGAGCCCAGATTCCCCTGCTTCTCTCTCTGTGCCACCCTGCAGCCTCTCACCGGGGGCCTGCCACCCAGCGCTCACACTCGCAGCCGTTCCAGCACACGTTACCCAAACACCTCCCCCCGCGCA